CAATTTGGATTAGGCAAATCCGTTGTGTTTTTTACATTGTTGTCCAATTGGAGCTGATTTTTTTATGTGACATTTTGTTTGGAGAAATGATGATATAGGAAAATAAATGTCCCTGAGTGTAGTTTGGTACTTTGAAGTCCACTTGAACAATTTTGTGTTTTTGGTTTCTCTGTGCTTGTAATTTTTCTGACCATAAAAGTATCAACTGGGGACCACCTTTTTGTGAATGATCTTCTTTTGTTTGATAAGTATCTTTTTGTATATTGATTGGCCATTGCTGAAAGACCGAAAGTAGTTGTTGGATTTAGGCGTAATGAAACTGTTTACTTAAAAGGCAAAATTGTATTTTTAGTCATGGTTTAACGTCGTAACATTTTTAGTTCCAAGATTTTTTAAATATTTGTCTTTTGATCTTGTAATTTAATATCTTACTGCAATTTTAACATTTTGGGATTGAAAATGTGATGAATTTAAAATCATATGACCAAATAGCAAAAATGTTAATTCGTAAGACTAAAAACGCTATTGAATCAAACCAATTGCAATTTTGCCTTATTTATCAAAACCTAGACATAGATTTTCTAATCATTCATTGTATAGAGCAAAAAGACTTGTGGGCTTGACCCATTTTTTGTTTGTAACGAGCTCGTACATATAAAACAAAACAAATAAAAAAACTGTTCAAACTTGAATGATATAAAATACTATATAATTGAAGCCCCCACATTAATGATTAAACTCCTCCACCCAAGATTCTCCAAAGACATTATTAATAGAACTTCCTAGTAATTTCCCGAGCAAGGGTTGACTAAAATTATAAAATCATCAATCAGTAGTTAGGACTTGGGCACGTATTTGATAGAGATAAGCGCACCCGACACAAGATCTATAAAACACCGACACATTATATGATTATTTTTTTCTTTTTGGTTATTTTATGTCATAATTTACATAAAATAAAAAGGTATTATCTTTTTTTTTTTTTACCTACGGTGAATACGAGTTAATTTGTTCTCTGTTAGATTTGACGTAGAACGAGCATATCATACATGATAGATATGTGATTGAAAGCTCATGATATCTTAACATGGTTGTCTTTTATTATACCATTGTTCTATTGAATTGCAGGATTTCGATTTGACTTTTATCGTGAAAGACTAACACTAAGATCGAGCCTTAGACAAGCAAATTTAAACGTGTCGAAAGTGGGGTAAATGAGAATTTTTAGATTCTCGAAAACTCTCTTACTCTGGATATTTCTTGTTATCAGTACAATTAGAAAATTTAATATGGTGAGTATTCTTATTACCTTCCACATTTTGTTACTTTTTTCCAATTTCCATTTCTAGTTTTCACAAAGACTCTAATTAAGTTGGTCTTGTACATTCAATGATGTGAGCATGTAAAGTTCTACTTAAATAAAAACAAGCCATAGATCATCACTTATTATGAAAGTAGGCTTTTTGAAAACACAAGGCACTTTTTTGGGGCCGCAGTGTAAATATTGTAAAACCATGTCTCGTGGCCTTTTTTGTTCCCTCATCATCTATTGGTTGGGGGTAAAGTTCATGATAGGATTCCAAAAGTGAAGGAACAAATAATTTGTTTTTTAAGCATATGCCTCAATTTCTTTCTTACTTCCAATTGGGCCTATCACAATTTCACAAACATGAACATCTTGAATCACAACATGAAGTGAACATGTAAAAAAAAAATAACACACCTCAATTTCATGCAACTTCAAGTTAAATTATTCAATAGTACCTCAAAGTTAAAGATTTGTAAAACGAGCTCCTAATACTCAAACTCGGGCACGAGCCTTTTAGTATAGAGTTGAGCTAGTAGACATGTTCGAATTTAAATAAGCTATTATTATACTAAATGTTCTAAGTCAAATAAATCATAATATTCAAATCCAACGAGTTGTGTTTGTCATCTTTAATTGAGTAAGCTAAGTTCACGAGCAATTCTTTTCATTAAAAGCTTTACACAAAGTTCAACCAAGATCATCATTTATATGTAGAAAAGGATTAAGCATGAAAAATCAAAATATTGATTAAAAATTTACCAAAATGTCCATCCAAAAACTAGACCATGACACCAAATAGATGCAGCATCACCACATGATTCCCCAATATCAAACCGACCATTCCCACTATCCATGATGATATTCACTTATTTTCAAAACAACCCCTCTTAAACCATCTAATTCACTTTCCCACCACTACAATGAAATCACACAAGAAGTCCCCGCAAAATACCGAAATTGCAAACCTACCTCCCCACACTCCCCTTTCCAATCATATCCTTGTACCTGATAATCGAATCCAACCTCTGAAGCTTAAGCTGCTCCTTAAACTTGTTGATGAAATCGTCGGCCCTCGCGTCCACCTCATGGTCACCCTCCGCCGACTTGGCATTGTTCCCCCGCCGCTCCCTTACCGTCGCCGGCCGCCGCGCCTCCACGATCTTCTCCTCCTCGAAGTGCCCGAACGGTGATTTCAAGCTCGCCGATTTCCTCATCCTGGCTGGAAGCTTCACCGGAATCTCACCGGCGGTCGGCTCCGTGTCCGATTTTGTCCTGACGAAGTGGCTGCCGGCGAGCTGACTGTAAACCTCGTCCATGCTCTGCTCGACCGCCTCGCTTTCTTCGATTTTCTCCTCTTGGGCCTGCTCGAAACCGCCCAAGCTCGGATCTTTTTGCTCGAATACGAGATGGGTTTGCTTTGACCCGTCCAAGTCCGGATCTTTTTGATCGGAATCGAGATGGGTTCGCTTTGAATCGCCCAAATCCGGATCTTTTTGCTCGAAGACGAAATGGGTTTGTGATTCTTGATTGTTTAGCTCGTGGGTTTGCTCGAAAATGTAAGTTGTGGCTTGGGACTGTAATGGCTGAAGATTTTCTTGGAAAAAGTAATGGGTCTGCTGCAGTTCAGAGTTGAAAGAATCTGGAGTTTGTTTGTAAGCAGACAGATTCTGAGTGTCCTGAGATCTGTTGAAATAAGGGTAGAAATTAGTGGATTTGAGGCGCTGCAAGACAGATGGTTTGGGCTGATTTTGGGTTTCTTCATTTTGTTGCTGGTTCTGATTTGTTGGTTGGTTTTGCCTTTTGTTGGATAGTGTTGAGGTGAAAGCAATTGTGCCTATCATGATATTGAGGAGCACAAAGAAAACAGCAGGAGTGAACCAGCTGTTCATTGATGCCCATATAGATGAAGAGGGTATTTCAGATGGGGATTGTTCAAACATTTTTTGCTAATTGAGTTGCTTTTTCTTTGAGATATGAAATGGGAAAAAAAAGAAGAAAAAGAATGGCCCTTTTATTCAGTAGCTGACTGACTCTTGCTGTTGTGAATTACAGTGTGTGTACAGAGGTGGGAGTGGAAAAATGTGGTTGGTGCAAATGGTGGATGGGGTATTTGTGATATTTTCAAAAGAATGGGGGATTTGTTCACACTTTAAAAATAAGTTTTGGGGTTCAATGCATAAGCTTGCAAATCATGATATTATCATATTGGACAAATTCTACACGAATATTTAATTAGTATTCCATCCATTTTGTTTTAATTGTCGTTTGAGTGTAAATTCTTTTTTACTTATTAATTGTCATTTTGGTTTGTTTGATAACCATGAACTACTATAACTTCTGAAAATTCATTATCGATAACTACAAAATTGAGAAGGAGAGAGAAAGCATTACTAAGATCTAGGAGAGTTAAACAGATGTAGA